TTTTTGTTTTTTTTTTAAACTTTGAATTGAGATAAAATTCAGGCAACACAGGACTTCCCTGGTGGTTCAGTGGTTGGGACTCAGCTTCCACTGCCGGGGTCACTGGTTCTGCCCCTAGTGGGGAAACAAATCCCACATGCATGCTGTGTGGCCAAAAAGAAAATGAAAAGAGAAACAATTCACAGAACACAAAATCATTCCCTTTAAGTATTTTAAGTAGCATTTAGTATAGTCAGTCTTGTGCCACTATCGTGTCTATCAAGTTCCAAACATTTTCACCACCCTGAGAGGAAGTGATTAAGCAATCACTCCCCACCCATCCGGCAACCGCTAATCTACTTTCTGTTCCTATGGATTTGTCCACAGTGAATCTTTGCACTGCCTCTCCCCTCGGGCTGAGGGATCTTGCAGTTGCATTATCTCAGGCTCTTCCTAACTATACCATCCTCCTGATTTTCCTTTCACAGGTGGCAGAATGACTTCCTGCCTCCTCCTGCTCTTCCTCACCTTTATCTTTCACTTTTTCAGTGGCTCAATTGTGTCTGACTCTTTGCGACCCCATGGACTGCAGCACGCCAGGCCTCCCTGTCCATCACCAACTCCTGGAGCTTGTTCAATCTCATGTTCATCAAGTCGGTGATGCCATCCAGCCATCTCATCCTCTGTCACCCCCTTCTCCTCCTGCCTTCAATCTTTCCCAGCATCAGGGGCTTTTCCAATGAGCCAGCCAGCTCTTTGCATCAAGTGGCCAAAGTATTGGAGCTTCAGCTTCAGCATCAGTCCTTCCAGTGAATATTCAGGGTTGATTTCCTTTAGGATGGACTGGTTGGATCTCCTTGCAGTCCAAGGGACTCCCAAGAGTCTTCTCCAGCACCACAGTTCAGAAACACTGATGTCATCCCAATAAATCCCTTGCATTGCTAACGCCACAGCAGCATCTGCTTCCTGGAAGAGCCGGCCACGCCACCAGCCTCTTGCTCTGAGCTCCAGCTCCCCACCCTACAGAGCAGCCCAACCTCTCAGGGGTGCAGGAGGCTGTGTGGAGGTTCTGAACACCTCCTGGAGGAGCCGTCAACCTGAAGACCCGAACCATGTGCTGCTTTCGCTATGTGCCAGGACCGCTCAAGTCCCTCCATGAACTCACTCCTTATATATAAACATGTCCTCTGTGTGTGTGTGTGTGTGTGTGTGTGTGTGTGTGTGAGCGTGCGCGCACGCACGAGGTCAATCACTTCAGTCGTTGCGTCCGACTTTTTGCGACCCTATGGACTGTAGCCCGCCAAGCTCCTCTGTCCATGGGGATTCTCCAGGCAGGAGTACTGGAGTGGATTGCCATTTCTTCCTCCAGGGGATCTTCCCGACCCAAGGATGAAACCCACGTCTCCTGAATTGCAGGCAGATTCTTTACTGTTGAGCCACCAAAGAAGCCCATATGTGTGTGTGTGTGCATGCGTATATTATGTATTTATTTAATTTTGGCTGTTCTGGGTCTCCACTGCCGTGCGGGCTCCTTGTCTAGCTGTGGTGTGTTGGGCGGGGGTACTCACTTTTGCGGAGCACAGGCTCTAGGCGTGAAGGCTTCAGCAGTTGTGACTCCTGGGCTCTAGAGCACCGGCTCAGTAGTCGCGGCTCGCCGGCTTTGCTGCTCTGCGGCCTGTGGGATCTTCCCGGACCAGGGATGGAGCCCGCGTCTCCTGCACTGGCAGGCGGATTCTTTACCACCAAGCCGCCAGGGAAGCCCGGTGGACTCGCTCCTGAACCCCAAGACTGAGGCACCATTGTGACCCTTGCTTTTACAGATGAGAAGACAAATGCCTGGAGGCCTCCATCCCCAAAGTGGGTGGTTTCCCTTTTCTGGAGAAAATGATCCGACCACTGAGCGGAAGGGAAAGATTCCTGAAAGTGAAAGTGTAGTATGGTCTCACCCAGAGGAGGACCTCTGGGGCCTCCTCCCCTCAGCTGAACCAGGGTAGCAGAAAGATCCAGAAGATTCCAGGCCCCCAGTGTGCACGTGGACATGGGCCGAGCCTGGTGCCCACATTGAAAGCAGCCCCCAGAGCTGCCTTTCCCTGCCCCTGGGTCCTCACAGGGTTGTCCTGAGGCTGCTACAGGCACTGCAGGGGACACATGTCAGCCTAGCCTCTGTGCCAATGTGGGCATGTGGGTACCAAGGCCCAGACCATGGGAAGTGGGGGGGGGTGTTCTTGCCTAGGATCACCTGGAGGTCGGCATCTTTGTTTCCTTTTGATAGAGACACAGGAGGGACTCCCCTTGTGGTCCAGTGGCTGAGACGCCACACTCCCAATGCTGAGTGGGCCTGGATTCCATCCCTGGTCAGGGAACTAGATCCCACACACCACCACCAAGACTTCTCACGCCCCCGCTAAAGACCCCACACGCTGCAACTAAGACTGGTGCAGCCAAATAAGTGAATAAATATTTTTAAAAGAAATTAAGCCATAAGGTGGGATACAGAGAAGTTAGTAATCTAAAAATACATGTAAATCCATGGCCAATTCATTTCAATGTATGACAAAAACCACTGCAATGTTGTAAGGTGATTAGCCTCCAACTAATGAAAATAAATGGAAAAAAAATAATAAAAATTAAAAAAAAAAAGAAAGAAGGAGGAGCAGGAATGAGACAGGCACTAGCACAGATGGGGCAGGGTGTGTTTGGGGGGGTCCGCTGCTCCCGTTGGGAGTGAGCAGCGGGTGGTATCCAGCACCCCCCACCCCGCTCCTCTCCCTGGGTTGTGTCCATCCTGATCGCCAGGACGGGTGTCAATGGTACCTTCCACAGAGAAAGGGATTTTGCAGATGAGGTTAAATTAAGGGTCTTGAGATGGGGAGGTTGTTCTGGATTTTTAGGGTGAGCCCAACATAACCACAAGTGCAAGAAGGGTCAGAGTCAGAGAAAGGGCTGTGGTGATGAAGTACCTCCCACCGTGCAGAGGGAGGTAGGCACCCCGAGCCAACGGATGTGGGCACCACCAGAAGCTGGGAAAGACGAGGAAACGGGTCCTCCAGAAGGAACGCAGCCCTGCCTGCCCCGCCTGCCCCTTGATTTCAGCCTACGGGGACAAAGACTTGTTTCTGAATTCTGACCTCTGGAACCAGAAGCTAATAAATCTGTGTTGCCTTAAGCCACTATGCTTGTGGTTTACTGGTACAACCGTTGCAGGGCTCTCTACGGGCACCCAGCTCTTAACTGGCAGAGGTGGAATTCGAAACCAATCTCACCGAGCTGCTTGCGGAGTTGAAAGTTCTGGATCTTCTGGGGTATCGCTTAGAGGTGTGAACGGTGGAATTATTCCAGGTGCTTCATCCTCAAGGTCGCTGGGCTGTGTGTGTGTGTGTGTGTGTGTGTGATGTAGAAGTGAGTCAAGAAACCAGGAATTCTACTTTCTTTTTTTTTTTTTTTATTGCAGTGGTTTTTGTCATACATTGAAATGAATTAGCCATGGATTTACATGTATTCCCCATCCCGGTCCCCGCTCCCACCTCCCTCTCCACCCGATCCCTCTGGGTCTTCCCAGTGCACCAGGCCCGAGCACTTGTCTCATGCACCCAACCTGGGCTGGTGATCTGTTTCACCCTAGATAATATACGTGTTTCGATGCTGTTCTCTTGAAACATCCCACCCTCGCCTTCTCCCACAGAGTCCAAAAGTCTGTTCTGTACCTCTGTATCTCTTTTCCTGTTTTGCATATAGGGTTATCGTTACCATCTTTCTAAATTCCATATATATGTGTTAGTATACTGTAATGGTCTTTATCTTTCTGGCTTACTTCGCTCTGTATAATGGGCTCCAGTTTCATCCATCTCATTAGAACTGATTCAAATGAATTCTTTTTAATGGCTGAGTAATATTCCATGGTGTATATGTACCACAGCTTCCTCATCCGTTCGTCTGCTGATGGGCATCTAGGTTGCTTCCATGTCCTGGCTATTATAAACAGTGCTGCGATGAACATTGGGGTGCACGTGTCTCTTTCAGATCTGGTTTCCTCGGTGTGTATGCCCAGAAGTGGGATTGCTGGGTCATATGGCAGTTCTATTTCCAGCTTTTTAAGAAATCTCCACGCTGTTTTCCATAGTGGCTGTACTAATTTGCATTCCCACCAACAGTGTAAGAGGGTTCCCTTTTCTCCACACCCTCTCCAGCATTTATTGCTTGTAGACTTTTGTTTTTTTTTTTTTTTGAGGTAAACATAATAAACCATTTATTAAAACATCATGTGGTAAAATTAACTTTGTGACCCAATGTGACAATGGTAAACATTTTCCCCTTGTTAACATTCCACCTAAAACACAGTTAAATTATAACACAATACAACCAGAAGCTGAAAAAACTTCTGTCCTTTATCACTCACTAGGTGAGTACAGATCTAGGTTTTCTTGATGAGTCAGAGAGAGGATTATAAAGACACCTGAAATCCCATACACCCAAAGGTTAAATTTTATTTACCCTATTCGCTGGTCCAAACTTAAAATTATATCAAATAAAAATTTAATTAATTATCCTCCCCCCTGCCAAAATAAATATTAGGAACACATTAAGGATAAGAACTGGGTTTTAAACTGTACTTTATTTGTTACTATAACATTGTCTTTTTAAAAAACTGATCAACCATAAGCATGCAAAAAATTCTCTTCTGAACAGAACCGCTTCAATAACTCCTTGGATATCGGTAAGTAAATTATGAAGGTTGTTTAATGTATACTCCTCTCCTTTATAGCACTTCTAAGCAGTGTGTGAGACACATACCAGAGGTAGGAAAGACCATCCTTAATAAATTATCTTAATTGTAGAGAATTTCTGAAAATAAAACTGAAAAAGGCTAAACCATGCCTTTGATGAGTCCCAAAAGACCACAGATCCATCTCCTATTCGAAGAATTAGTCCCCTGGAGAGTTCTAGCCTCTGTAGAGCAATTGATAACAAGATATACCAAGGCTCCGAACAACTGACTGCATGAAGAACACCTTCGTTTGCTCTCACTTCCCGATTCTCTGGACCACCCAGGCCTGCTGGCAGAGAGGGCAGCGATTGTTCTGTTTCACCCACAAGGACATGCAGCAGTTGTGGAAGGAATGATTACATTCTCCCCAGACAACAACACAATCCTCTTGTTTGTTTTCAGCTTGACATCTAAGACAGGCATCTGGACCCTGCAGATGGCGCACGTATCGCACTCCACGTCCCAGCTCCACATGGCCACAGCGTCCCACTTCTTGAGAGAGAACATTTTGTCGCCGCCCGACTTGGATCCTGAGCTCCCCGAGTGAGACGACAGGGCGCAGGGTTCCTCACCGTCTTCCACGTCGGCCATAGCGGCGGCGCGGAGCCGGCGGCGGAGACGTTGGGTCGTGGGAGGCGGGCGGCTATGGCGGCTCCGTGGGGCCGCCCGATGGGCCACAGCGCCGCCCTGCTTGTAGACTTTTGGATAGCAGCCATCCTGACTGGTGTGTAATGGTACCTCATTGTGGTTTTGATTTGCATTTCTCTGATGAGTGATGTTGAGCATCTTTTCATGTGTTTGTTAGCCATCTGTATGTCTTCCTTGGAGAAATGTCTGTTCAGTTCTTTGGCCCATTTTTTGATTGGGTCATTTATTTTTCTGGAACTGAGCTGGAGGAGTTGCTTGTATATTTTTGAGATTAATCCTTTGTCTGTTGCTTCGTTTGCTATTATTTTCTCCCAATCTGAGGGCTGTCTTTTCACCTTGCTTATAGTTTCCTTTGTTGTGCAAAAGCTTTTACGTTTCATTAGGTCCCATTTGTTTATTTTTGCTTTTATTTCTAAAATTCTGGGATGTGGGTCATAGAGGATCCTGCTGTGATTTATGTCGGAGAGTGTTTTGCCTATGTTCTCCTCTAGGAGTTTTATAGTTTCTGGTCTTACATTTAGATCTTTAATCCATTTTGAGTTTATTTTTGTGTATGGTGTTAGAAAGTGTTCTAGTTTCATTCTTTTACAGGTGGTTGACCAGTTAGGAATTCTACTTTCATGAGGATTAGGGGATCTGGTGAATAACTCCAGCATTGACAACTCAGGCTGTCGTGAGAATTAGTGAGCTAACCCCCGTGGAGCAGGGGATCCCAGTTAACACAGGGCAGGGCCTGACACATAAGATGAGTTAACACGTCTTACATCTCTTTCATGGCTACACACCGCCAGTGTCAGCTCCTCTCTCTTCCCTGCTCAAGAACCTTCCATGGCTCCCCAGTATTCTCAGGATGACATCCAAGCCCTTTATGATGACTGAGAACTTAGGGTCCTGGCTCATTTCTCCTAGTGGGTCCCATACTCTGGAACCTAGCAGACTGCCCCCTAAAGAACGTTGCTCTCCACCTGAGTCTAGAAGCATCGAGGGGTCAGCCACCGGAGTCACTAACCTTTAACCCACCTTTAACTGGAGTCGCTAACCTTTAACCCACCTTTAACTGGAGTCACTAACCTTTAACACCCTTGGATGAGGCACTCTGCACTCTGGGAAAACGGGAAGAACAGGCCTTCAGATATTTTCAAGAAAAAAATGTTACCAGCCCAAATTCTTGCACCTTCTTCTGCTTCGAAAAGCACTGAAGTCATTAACTAAGGTATCCGTGCCTTGTGACTAGCAGCAACCTTCTAAGGAGATATCTGTTGGGTTGCCCAAATCCCTTTTGCAAAATTACTGATGCTGGTATCAGATCCTGAGAACTCCCTGAGAGGCGGTCTCATGGGCCACAGGACTCAGCATGACCCCAGATAAAATGGAAACTCGCAGGTTAGCCGTTTCTATTTTGGTCAAAAGACAAAAGCACTCAACTCTCAGGGGCCAGGTTTCAGGAACCACCTGGGCCCTGCTGAGAAAGCCTTCCTGTAGCTCGCCTGCCTCCTCTAAGCACAGCTTGTGAGATCGTCCTAAACTTCCCCCACAGCCAGACAGGCACTGGCCACCACTGCTGGTTACCCACTTCCCCTTCTGGGCCCACCCTGCCCTGCTCTGCACTACTATAACATCTCGTGTTCTGGCTTCTTTTTTTTTTTTTTACTGCACCCTGCACCCTATGGGACCTTAGTTCCCTGACCAAGGCTCCAACCTGTGCCCCCAGCAGTGGAAGCGCAGAGTCCTAACCACTGGACCACCAGGGAAGTCCGGAGAGATCTCATTCTTCATTGGTCACTGGGCCTCTGCCTTCAAGAAACACTCGTGATCCCTGTCTGTCTGTTTCTCTGCTCCTCTCGTCTTTGCTCTCAAGGAATCTGAGAGCTGAAAACCCTAGCTGTTGGGGCACTTGGAAGTCTTGAAGTGCAAAGGATGAGAGAAGCAGGCTTCAGAAGTCCCCGTGATGGGGGGGCGTTGATGAAATATTTAGCCACAGAAAGGCACGAAGCATTGACCTGTGCTACAATGTGCTATCATACTAAATCACTTTAGTTGTGTCCGACTCTGTGTGACCCCATGGACTGCAGCCCCCCAGGCTCCTCTGTCCATGGGATCATGCAGGCAAGAACACTGGAGTGGGTAGCCATGCCCTTCTCCAGGGGGTCTTCCCCACACAGGGATCGAACCCACGTTTCTGACGTCTGCTGCACTGGCAGGCGGCTTCTTTACCCACCTGGGAACATGGATGAACCTCAAAAACATCACGCACAGTGAGAGAAGCCAGACACAAAAAGGCACACACTATTTATATGAAATGTCCAGAAGTGCCAAATCTATAGAGACGGGAAGCAGTTTGGATGTGGCCAGGGGGTTGAGGGGTGGGGAGGGGGAATTGGGAGTGTCAGCTTAACTGGTAAGGGACTTCCTCCTGGGGTACTGAAAAAGTTCCAGAGTGAGGTAGAGGTACTGGTTTCAAAACACTGTGAATGAGCTAAATGTCCCTGAACTGTATAATTTAGAATGGTTAGGGAATTCCCTGGCCTTCCAGCAGGTAGGACCGGGTGCTCTCACTGCCAGGGGCCCCAGGTTCCATCCCCGATCGGGGAACCAAGATCCCACAAGCCACGACGTGCCGCAAACCATAATGCAATAAAGTCAAATAAAGTACAACTTAAATAAAGCACAATGAAATAAAGTGAAATGGTTAATCTTATGTGAATTTTATTTCAATTATAAAGATATCAAAAGAGGTGGGGAGCTAAGGGAGCGGGTGGCTGGCACTTCTGGGTCTCAGGGAGAGACACTCCCTGTGGCTGAGGGTGGATGGGGCCGGGGGCCTGGACTCTCGGGTCCTGGGGACGCAGGAGGGGGGCTGGGGCCCAGGCACCTGAGTAGTGAGAAGGGAGGAAGCCAGGAAGCCGAGAGCTGTTCTGTGGGAGAGAAAAGAAAACGGTCAGAGGAAGCAGTGGTTTTCTGGGAGGGAGGTTCTCCTGACGGGGACGTTCTCCGAAGGACCACCCCCCCCCCACTCACTCCCTGGCTGTGGGGAACGGGGAGGCCAGTGTGGGCAGGATCCAGGCACCAGGTCCACACAGAAACGGCACCCGGCAGAACGGGCCCCCGTAGATCTGGGTTCTCAGCCCCAAGGAGGTAACAGCAGGGACGCTAGACCACAGGGGCTAGAGACAATGGCGCGTGCTCTGGGAGAGGCTGGAGGCCCGGACTTCTGGGTCCCCAGGGAGGAAGGATGGACAGAGCTGGAGGCTCAGATTTCTGGTTCTTGGGGAGGACTCCCCGTCTGGGAGCCTGAACGCTGAAGCTAGAAAGCTGGAGGAAGGGAGCTGGAGGGCGCTGCGAGCTAAGCCACAGTCCGCTCCGAGACCGAAAGGGCAGTTAGTTTGAGGGTGAAGTCCCGGGACAGTGGAGGTCACCCTCTTGACCTGACAGTGTTCTGCTGGCGTTCGATCATGGACTTTGGCTCTGCTGGGGAGCGGACAGTCCCGGCCCCACCCCTCAGCCTTCTTCCCCAAACTCGCATGCGGCCCCAGGACCGAGAGAGTCTGAGAGAGCCTGGCCCGGTGAGCGTCTGGCAGAGGGGTGCGGGGGGGCGGGCGGCACTGGGGGAAGGGCTGGAGAGACTTGGGAGCTGGGTGGGGGCAGGACAGCCAAGAGACACTGGGACATCAGGATAAAGGACTGTGCAAAAAAAAAAAGCGAAAGTGCCCCAAGCAGACAGCTGGTGTTATCATCCTGAACACTTGCCCACTATTTATGCCTGGGAGCCAAAGAGGGCCTCAGAGACGGTCCCAGAATATGACACACCTAAACCCTTAGGGCCGGTTCCTCACCTGGGACAGAGACGCAGAGGCAGCGCTGACCTCAGTCCCTTCCCCGCTCCTCCCCTGCAGACCCCGGCATGTGGGGATACTTGTCTCTGCTGCCCATCTGCCTGGCCTTCGGGGCTATTGCTGGCATCTGGACCGTGTGAGTGTGTGTCTGTGTTCTTCCATTTATTTACTTATGTCAGGCTGTGCTGGGTCTTCGCTGCTGTCCGCAGGCTTCCTCTAGCTTCGGTGAGGGGGCGACTCTCCTTTATGGTGGCTGCTCTGGCTGCACAGCGCCGGCTCTGAGCGCTTGGGCTTCAGTAGTTGCAGCAGGCTCAGGAGTTGTGGCACACACGTGGGTTTTGTCCCCAGCAGCATGTGGGATCTGCTGGGACCAGAGATGGAACCTGCGTCCCCTGCATGGACAGGCAGATTCCCACCCACTGTACCACCAGGGAATGGACCACATGAGTGTAAGAGGCAGGAGACATGCCTGCATCTGAGCCAGGAAGGGCTGGGGGCCAGGACCCCAGGTCTGAGGGAGGAGGGGCTGGGGGTCTGGACCTCCGGGTCTGGACTCGGGTCTGGAGGAGGGGCTGGGGGCCAGGGCCCCAGGTCTGAGGGAGCAGGGGCTGGGGGTCTGGACCTCCCGGTCTGGACCAGGGTCTGGAGGAGGGGCTGGGGGCCTGGACTCCCAGGTCTGGACCAGGGTCTGGAGGAGGGGCTGGGGATCTGGACCCCTGGGTCTGGAGGAGGGGCTGGGGGTCTGGACCCCTGGGTCTGAGGGAAGAGGGGTTGGGGGCCTGGACCCCCAGGTCTGAGGCGGGAGGGTCTGGGGGTCTGAGGGAGGAGGGGCTGGGGGCCTGGACTCCCGGGTCTAGAGAGGGGCTGGGGGCCTGGACCCCTGGGCCTGGACCCCCAGGTCTGGAGGAGGGGCTGGGGGTCTGGACCCCTGGGTCTGAGGGAAGAGGGGTTGGGGGCCTGGACCCCCGGGTCTGGACCCCCAGGTCTGGAGGAGGGGTTGGGGGCCTGGACCCCCGGGTCTGAGGCGGGAGGGTCTGGGGGTCTGGGGGTCTGAGGGAGGAGGGGCTGGGGGCCCGGATCCCCGGGTCTGGAGGAGGTGCTGGGCACTGG